TCATCCACGATGTTGGTGAGCATTTATGGTCTTGCAAAGTTCACTGTCAGCTCCTTAATGTTGTTTCTGAATTGAAACAGAAAGGTGAGGTATGTGCAATGTACCTTATCTCAAGACGTGTCTGTGACAAGATTCTGAGATCTGATTACTGTTTTGCAGAGCTGTAGGTCAGTTCAGGAAAAAAAAGCATGTTATTCTGCACTTATAATCGTGGCATGTGTGAATCCAAACCACATGTAGCCACTGAAGCGGTTTCAAGTCCTGTGTAGACAAGAACTTATGTTCTCTCTTTTTTAGATAAGGATTTGTCTGTTCAACTTTGCCAAGTTGTTTTCAAAATCTGCCAGTTTTCTTAATGGCGAACAAGATCCTCAAGAGCTGTTCAAAAAAATAAGCTTCACTCGTGAGTCCTAAGTAGTTCCAGAAAACCGCTCCCTGGAGCATCCCGTTTCCACCTGGCAGCACTGATGGGTCTCTGCGTGGCCGTACGTTTCTGTGCCCGGGTCTGCGGCGTTCAGGGCTCCCCACCTCGCTGTGCTGTAACCCAGCACACGTCATTGCCAGCTCCCAGTTGGGATCAAATGTGCTGCTTTGATTGACGCATCGTTCTTAGGTCAGTGCTTTTCAGGAGGTGGTGTTTGTGTCCCAGAAGTGACTAAGTGGAGGCAGTACAGGGGGTAGCAGTGCTGGCAGTAATTTGTTCTTAGCAGAAAATCTATAACACAACTGGTATAATTTCTGAGCCTTGCCACGAGAGACGGGATCTATGGCCAGGTGGGAAACTTAAAGAATGTTTTAAAGGAGCATTCCCATCTCAAAAAAAGTGCAGAGCTGTGGCTGTCCTCTGGCAAAGAAAAGGCCAAAGAAGGGCTGTGTAAAGGATGCTACCTGCTTTCTGTACACAGTAAATCCTCCTACATGACCTTTTCTGCTGTCCTTTCCATACTCAAAGCTTCTTTGGAGTGCCTGATGCTAGTGTTAAGTAATTTTATAGCTCTTTTCAGTCATGCTGTGCTCCTGAGAGCTAACGTGGAAATAGAGCAGTGGAGAATAGTGTGCACCACTCGGAATATTCACAGGTTGTTTTCTTAAAGCTCCTTTGGTTTTACTTTACCCGCAGATGGAAGTTTTTACCTGTTATAGACTGTGTTATGAGTGGCTCTCTGCAATGAACTCCCGGGGTGTTTCGGTGACATGGGTTAATTTAGTGTGTGCTGCAAAACATGGGGGCAGAATAACAACTCCATTGTATCTGTTAAATGAAAAAGAGGCATGTGACTCTTCCAGTTGTTCAAAGGTGTTTGGCATAGATTAAACTGTGGTCCCTTAGAAACGTTTCTTTTGTATTTCATGAAAGATTGCCTGCCATTTTCCTCTTGATTGAGGCTTTGCGGAGAGCCGAGCCAGCTCATTGTCTGCCTTTCAAAAGCCTTTCCATTCCGTTATAATGATGGCAAATACTGTTTTTCAAAGTGGTTAAGATGCATAAAATCAGAAAAGTCTTTAAGGCAAGACAAAGTTGAGTGAGTGAAAAAGTGAAAGCAAAAGCTTTGTGTATCTACAGAAGATGTGTTGCCTTCCCCTGCAATGGAATATCCATGGGGAAGCCATTAGTGAGTGGGAAAAGTGCCAGAGTACGTGTACCAAAGACAGCGAGGTATGAGGATGTTAAAGTTGGAAAGATGTGGGCTATGATATGGCTGACCAGGCTTGTACACTGATCTCAGTTTTGGGGTTTCAGCTGGTGACCCAAAGCAGATAAGAGACCTTGTGTGTTGTGCAACCAGACGACGGACCACGCTGCTCAGGTGCCAGAGATGTTCTTGTGGCCCAGACCCCCCTTGGCATTTTTCTTCTGGTTCCTCTTTTTCCTAGCTCCTGCAAATTTGTTTCCTGGGGAATTAGTGCTCTCTCTGCAGGCTTGTCAAGCCAGAAAGAAAACCAAGGCAGAAGCCAAGAGCAGGGTCCAATCTCTGCCGAAGGTGGGGAGCAGTCCTTAGTGGTGGGCACAACTAAAATTAGAAAATGACTCGAACAAAGAACACGTCTGAGTTAAGTGACGGGTGGATTGTGGTGTGTAGAAAGGCTCCTGAGCACAGAGGGAGTAACTCTGGGGGATGGTGTTGAAATGTTCTCAGTCTTACCGAGTGCAACCACCATTTTTTTTTCTGATGACTAATTGGACAGTTACTCAGTGCTTTGACAGCCTGAGACACAGACTAAAATTGTGGGCTATTAGTCTACTTGGCTGTAATATTTGTGTGCTTTTTTACTCCTTTCCCATAGAATTCAAGTTTAATTGGACTGGCACTGCATAATGTTCTGCTCCCACTTGCTTCCTAATGGTGCACGTGGGCTCTGATTCTTTTGCTGTTAAACAAGTGTGTTGACTGTATCTGGGTTATTGATTATACGCTACGGCAAAGCGTGTTCCCATCACGGTAACTGGAGCTTTGTCTAAGCCAGTGTGTCTTAGGCTAAATATGCCCGAATTGTTGCACAGTAATAAAGTGGGAGCAATTTTAGAAAGCTCTTTTGCAGAACTTTTGCTTCACTTAAGCCCTGTCAAGGAAATAGTGTTGCGCAAGGAAAATCAGACATCCTTTATTTGCTGCCAGGAGATTGTGAGACCATGTTATAAAATGTTTTGGGATATTGCCACTGGGTATGTAGCCAATGGGTATCTGAACAGTTGCTTTATATGGATAATTGGGGGGGTTTGGGCAGGATTTGGTGGTGGGTTTTTTGGTTTGGTTTTTTTTTGCATTGAGTTTTTGTTTCAGTTACTATTTGTACTTCATTTTGGAAAACAAACCCAGAACAATAACCAAAAGCTTTGTAAAAGAGCTAAAGAGTCCTCTCTGTCCCAGCTTGTCTCATGGTCATTTACAGTTCCTTTTGTGAGACTAAGTTCAACACCACAATCTGCAGGCAGATCGTTTACAAGAGTCAGCACCTCACGGATTCAGCCACTCTCTGCAGCAGAGTTGTTGAGGTGGTGAGTTGAAAGGCAAGTGATTTAAATGTTTGCACCCTGCTAGACTCTTCACAGATGATCTTTCTGCACAACGCAGTGGGAAATGTTATAATTAAATCAACAGGACGATGACGGATGCTTCTGAACTCAATCTGCATGTGTATGTTTGTGCATGTGTGGTTTCCTTGGTGTTTTTTTTAAACCAAAGCCTTGCGCCCTCTAGAGAAATAATAGTCTTTTAACTACTGGTATTACTGACATCAGCTGATACCTGCATCCTTATAAAAATCCTGTTCCCATTATTTTTTTATTGCCTTCCGTGTGTGACTTGCCTGCTGAGACTGTGGGGTTATACTCTGATTCTGGGAAAGAAGGCTCCGATGAGCATGGTGCACGCTGAGTGGAGATGGAAAACCTACTCCAAAATCCTCCCTGATTCTCCTGTGCTGCTCAGTTCTCTCTTCTCACCAGAAAGACCTCTCTGGGAGACCACCTCCTCCCCTGCAGTTCTTCCCTACTGCTGGGTTGGTTTGCTCTGTGGGTGAGAAGGGAGCACGCACCCGGGAGCAGGTGGTGGCAGGGATGGAGGAGCGTTGCCTGGAGCCTCACCTCCGGGCTTGCTATGTTCTGTCCGACCTGGAATAAGGTGACCGATGGGATGCTGTACCCAAGCTGTCCTCCCCGAGCAGCTCCCGCTAGCCGGGGGCAGCATGCCGCAGGCGTGCAAGGCCAACTGCCCAACGGGCTGCATCCGGCCGTCAGGCACGGCTTGACAGCACAGTCTGTGGGATTGAGTGTGGGACAGGGACTTCTTGGGATGAGCAGGAGATATTTGCACCTCCTCTTTTGCAAGAGAGAAAAATCAGAGTGATTTGGACCACAGCACTGTCCTGAGGGGCATCTCTGATCTGTTAAAAAGATAATTTTTCCCTGTTACACTGTTTCCTGGGTCTAATCTATCCCCTCCTTTTCACTTTTCAAATAAGCAGCTTGTTTTTCTCTAACATTTTGATTAAAAAAAAAAATACCTTAAGACTTGGGTTGGTTTTTTTTTCCATTGCCCATGGAGGGAAGCAGTGTCTAGACAGGTGAGATCAGTCATTTGTAGCTGGATTTTGAATCTGCATAGCTTCATGGGGACACTTGGTGTGTCCTTTGGGTCTCTCCTTCCTCCTGGAAGGCTTCAGCACTGCAGGATGAAGATTAATTCAGTGATACTCACTGCTGTGCGCTGAGAAACTGCTCAAGTTTTCCATCCCTAGCAGCGAAGATTTTTTTTCTGCAAGCCACAACTATCATTTTTCATTTTCTTTTGTACCTGAACAGCCTTATTCTCTTCCAGGTTTTCTCCCTGTGTTTAAGAGAAATGCAGCATCCCTGACACATCCCAGGTGAAGGCCAGAGGCTAGGAAAATAATCTTAGTCTTTTTGACTTCATAACTAATCTGGATTGATAGCAGCACAATGGTCTTGAAGCCCTGTACTGCTATCCTGGTTTCAAAAGAAGAGGGCTTTAAGGAGGGGTGATTTGGGATGTCTCATCAAAGTGATGTGAGCAGTGCAGACGGGGAGATCTGTGCGTTGGGAGGAAGCAATAGAGGCAATTTTTGTCATCTCAGAAATGAAGTGAAAGAAGGCAGAGGGGAACTTCAGGAGACTTTTTTTTTATCCCCAAGTGGTTTTCATGTTCCCTGTGATGTTAGTCCATTAAGACAAAGATATTCGGTCGGTGGCATCTGTGCCTGTACACAGGATTTCTGAGGAGTTGGTGCATTGATACATCAAAGCTGGATCCAGGAGTGTGAGCAGAGCCTGCTGAGCCCTGGACCAGAGGAAGCCTTGGGATGAGAGTGGGGTGGGCTGTTTGCTTCTGTGTCTGATCACAGACTGTTTTCAAGGTGTTTCAACTAAGGTAGAAGTGGACCTTGTGGATGTGGAAGTCCAGAGGATGGCTGTGGTGATGGGGACTGAATTCCAGCAAGGGAAATGTTTTCTTGGCATTCGGTGTGGATGTGATGGGAGTTTAATCTTCGTTTTTAAGCTCTGCTGATTGTCAATCATAACGGGAGGTGAAGAGGCTAAAACATTCTCCTGTAGTTCTGCAAAAAGTAATCTGGTGGGGGAAATAACTCTGAATCTTGACTGAGGTTGAACAGAATTAAGTTGCCGAGGCCCATTGTTCAGCCCCTAGAAGGTCACAGTCTGCTGGCTCAGACTTGCCTCTCCTCCATGGAGCTCCCTTCTGAAAGTCAGGCAGAGAAATGCATAAAATATTGATAGATGCAATCTTACTGTGCAAATAAAGTTCAGGTTGAGCTGGTCCATCGCATTAGCTACTGATCTCAATGGTTATTTCCTCCTGATTGGTTAGTTCTTAATTCCACCAGCCTTCACAAGTCAGCTTAAGTGTCGAGCAGAAAATAAAGTGTCCAGACCTGGAAGGAAATAACTATATAAAAATTGGCTTTTTTAATTTCTTTTTTTTTTTAAAGAAAAGGGTTATTTCTGAAAACAAAAGGGATAATTAGGCTGAAGATCACAGAAACCAGGGCAGTAATAAGATCTAAGACTTTCTGTACAACAGTGAAGCAAAAGTTGCTGGAAACACCTTAGAAAACCCTGTGCCCAGCGGGATCATCCAGCTTCGGCCACGCTCCTGGGAAAGGAGGGTGGCTTACATGGGCCGTCTTTCCTCTTGGTGGTGTTAGAGACCTCAATCTGCAGCTTCCAAAACATAAATTATTTTAACGTAGCCTGTTGATTGCTCTCTATCTTGTAATAGAAGTGGTGGTGGTGTGGCCTGTGGTTTTTGGCCAGGGTCTTCATTAGAGCGAGAGCGTGGCTGCCCTGCCTGCCGGCGCTTCGGCGCAGTGTATTTCTGCTCCAGGCTTAGCAGCGGGGGATTGCGGATCCATAATCCCACTGACAACAAATCCCACTGCTGCTTTTGGTATGTCCTTTGATCCATCTTTACCTCAGTTTCCCAGTAATTAAATGGGGAACGATATTTATTTATTTATTTATTTTTCGGAAGGGTTCCTGAGAATTAATTTGTCAGTATTTACAGAAGCTTCTAAAAGCACCGTTCCTGCTGTGTGCTCCCATCAGTAATGAATGGCAGTTTGGAGCTTTGACCTGTGCTGAGTTTTTAAGCAATAATATTGGTTGAAAATCCTGAGTGACTATGATGTTTCAAAAGTCTTGGTGGTATGATGATGTTAGCCAACAAGTTTAAGTCCTGGAGGAAAGTTTCTGTTGCCTGGTCAGGAGCATTGTGTGTTGATTCTGAGATGGTTCTTCCTTTCAGATATGTGGTACGTTGAGATATTTTAAATGGGTTTTACCCACTTCATTTTTCTCATGCAGCAGAAGACAGATGGTATCTGCATCTTTTATTAATAATTGTGGTGGGCTATGTGGTGTTCATCAGGAACCACTTGAAACTCTCCTGGATTAAAAAAAACCCAAAGTTTTTTGTTGTTAATGTTGGGGTTTTTCTTTTTTTTTTTTTTTAATTCTTCTGGGAACATACTTTGTTTTGAAGGCTGGATCCAAATATTGCAACCTCCCAGAACTTCGTGGGAGTTGAGGTTGTAGTCTGTGCCCTGTGCCTGGCTCCTTCTTGGTGGAGCAGACAGTCACAGAACAAAGTCCTGGATCCAGAATTATGAAATCCCTTCCCAAGTTAAAAGCAGTCACAGAAGACTGGCTGATTTTTCAGTACATGGTTGGTTAGCAAGAATTGAGGAGATAAGTGAAGTGACCAATTTGCCATCCTGACACTTGCTCTATGAAGATCCTTTAGTGCAGCTTACAGCATTGTGTTGTTGATGCCACTGTAATGTCCTTGCCACGCTGTCTTGAGGTTTTGGGGAAGGAAACGCATCGATTCCTGCAGTTTTGTAGCACTAGTGACTGGGACGCTCTGGCTTTGCAGGCTTGCGGAAGGTCATGGTCCGTGCTCATCGGCAAGCTTGGTGCTGGCAGGACGAATGGTACGGGCTCACCATTGAGGATATTCGGCAGCTGGAGAAGGAGGCACAGCTGATGCTGGCTCAGAAGATGGCCCAGTTCTGCAGTGAAAATGATACTGAGCAGCATGGTGTTAAAGACACTCCTAGTGAGAAGGATGTTGAAGCCAACACAATATCACCTGTTGACACAGAGGATGCTGTTGGTAACAGTGAAACAGCCTCTGGGAGATCGCTCACCAAGCAGTGGTCTACCTCTTCCAAGTCCTCACGATCTTCAAAGAGAGGAGGTAAGATGCTACTGATGACTTACTCTTCTAAACTGCAGGGAGGTTGGGCTTTTGGGAGGTACGACCATGTCTCCTCGTGACTGGCACCTTTAGACAATGCATATTTCTCCTGCAAGTCCTTTTAACTCAGAGGCTTCTCCGCTGGTGACCTGTTGTGGGTTTGGGAATGTTTCTAGTCATCCCATAACTGTGACTCAGTGGCACATGGCAGAATTCTTGCCAATCTCAAAAGCAGAGTAACTATGGAGAAACAGTAGAAGAGCAGGCAGCAGCTGGCTGGCAGTGCTGGGTCTCAGAAGAAGACAAACAGCAGTGCAGAGAAAGCTAGTCTTTGTCACCCAAGAGCAACTGGTGGCTTTTATAAGGCCTGGTCCTTCAGTGGTGTTCCCTCTCTGGACATCTGCTTATTCGCTGTGTCATGAGGCTGACCCTGCTGTGGGTCGCTGCTAACTGCCTCTCGTTTCCCAGGAGGCAGCTACAGGAGGTACCCCGTCCTCCACGGCTGGGGTTGTACGTTACCACATGCTGTTCGTTTCAAAAGCAGGCGTTTGGCTCCGTGGGTGCTGCAGTGTAGCTCACCTGGCAAAGCATCCCCATCACCTACCATGAAATTAAGGCAGGTACTCCCCAAAAAAGTGGGTGGGGGCTGCTGCCTTCCACTGGCGATGACGTGTGGCAGCTGTTTGGAAACCAAACCTCACAGCTTGCAATTAGGTGGGACCATGGATCACATTTATATTCCCTTTTAAATACCGTTGAGCAAGCTTTCAGGATTTTGCAGTTAAAGCACCTGTGGATGCCCTGTAAGGACTCAGGTTTGAGTCCTAAATTTTGTCATTCACCTCTTCCTAGGCAGGAGGTTGTTACTACACTGTGTTAAACTCTTCCCTTCCTCAGCCCATTCTGTACAAAGGAGTGAATCCTCAGCGAGTTACAGGCAGAAGGTTTGAACCCTCAGCAATTCCCTCTCCTTTTAGTCAAGCGCAGCTGATAGCTGGGTAATAGCTGTCACAGCTGTTGAGCAAAAATTCTTGATTTTCCTGAAAACCCCAAGGGGCAGCATTTCTTCCAGTGACAGTGGAAGGGGACATCTGGGTGAGTGAAGCTTCTCCATCTCTCATATGCACTAAATATTGTGAGTTGTCTCCATTTTTATATACCACTCCCTCACTGATTTCATCACGGGGTGGATGAGGGATGAGCAGTAGTTTTACCTTGCGATGACTCACTGGAGTGAGCCCCAGGGAAGAACCTACCAGATGCTTCATATATCACCGTGTAAAGATAAAAATGCTGGCTGCTTTGCTTGCACCAGGATTTTATACTGATGTGCCTGTCTCTCATTACGCTTTTTGTTATGAACCCCCCTTCCAGTGCTGACATGTTCATTGGAAGCTGCAGTTTTCAGACCTCTTGGGATTTCACTTGAAGGTTTTCACTGGTAGCAAAGCATGAATTTCTTTTGAACTGCAGAATGTCTCAGCTTTTACAAGAAAAAGTAATGAAAGAAATGAATTGTGATGTGCTGGGAAGTACGTCATGCAGATATTTTAGTCCTCCTTCACGCTGGCAGCATATTAACATATGGAAGCAAGGAGGGCTGTCTCGACTTACCGCCACCTCCAGCTGAAAAAAGCAACGCCTTTTCTCCAGAAGATCTCCATCCTTTCTATACCATCCGAGTGAGACCTCTGGATAGCAGGACTCTCGTCGCCATCCCATATGTTATTATATGTTCTATTTTTAGGAGCTATTATGCGAGTGCCTTGACGTCACTCCAACGTAAATTAGCTCTGCTCTGCCAACCTCCTCGCTTGCTGCTCCCAAAGGGGTGGGCGACGGGGTGGTTGGGGGCTGCTGAGCCAACGCTGAGCTGTAATTAAATGCCTCTGCACAGGGTCTCCGTCCTCTTTCCATGTGGCAACCAGGTAGCAAAATTAGAGGAATTTGACTTAGATTTAACACCGTTACGACGATAGCATGAAACAGCTCGTGCAGCTGTCGCAGTAACCAGAACCTTTCAGCGTCTTTGCGTATGCTAAACGAAATTTTTGTCAGTCTCCTCAGGTTTTCGCCGTGTTAAGTTGGGTGGCTGCTGCAAGCACGTTGTGTGCCCTCCTGTCTGTAACGGGCAAGAGCTGTCTGGAAGAGGAGAAACCCTCTTGCTCGGCGTTCTCTGGACGGTGCTCCCTTCAGCACACGGCTGTTCTGTGACAAGTTCAGCCAAGAAGAGTTCAGGCTGGATCGTTGCCAAATTATATCTGAGGAAAAAAAAAAAGAAAAGAAGAAAAAAGACGTTTATATTTAGCACAGGGCACTCTGGAGGGGAAAATGAAAGGGAGCAGGAAGGTGTGAGAACAGGAGGGCAAACAGGGACCATCAGGACTGTTGGGTTTTCTCCTCGCTCTGTCAGAACAGCTGCTCTGACAGCTCCCTACGAAGTAGTTGGATAGCATGTTGTTTAAATCATTCAAGTTTAAAGTTTAAATAGATCTCTAATCCAATTTGTGTAGAAGCAATTTCCTTCCAGAAAACAGATTATTTCTATCCAGGCTGCTCTGCTTAGCTACCCATCCGAAAGTTAGCGAAGCAGAGGCATGGTTTGTGTGCTGATTAGAGGCACGAAGAAAGCTTCCAATCAGCCTGCTTCCTTCCTAATTGCAAACTTAAAAACCCAGCTGATTTTGCACGTCCTACTAACAATTATAAATAGCTGCCATTCAAAATAGCAGAAGAGTGATACGAACAGCTCGCTTTAATGTAGCATCTTGCTGGCAGGTTCTAACAACAGTAAACAAACAGGATCTGTAAAGCGGTACACTGACATCACACCAGCATCATTGGGGTTTTGTGTTTTTAATATTGCAGCAGTGAATTTTTCATAGAGAACACACGACTCTTCCTCCAGCAAAGATCATGTTGGGAACTCTCCGTCTTGTCGATGTAGCGTATCGCATAAGGCTTTCTTGTTTTTTCCAGCAAGTCCCTCACGCCATAGTATCTCCGAGTGGAGGATGCAGAGCATTGCCAGGGATTCAGATGACAGCTCAGATGATGAATTCTTTGATGCACATGGTATGTGGAGCCTTAAATCACCATCGCTTGTTTCCTGAAATGGTGGGGTAAGAGAACAGAAGGCATGAGGGTGGGGGTGAGCGGGGAAGGAAGCGAGACTTTTTTTGCTTTGTTTGAAGGCTGCTCCTTTCTAACCAAGATACATGCAGCATCAATGCAGCTTCTTCTTCAAGCATCCCCAGCATCACCCAGCAGACTTTTATATTTAACACAGCAACATTTCAGATCCAGTGTGATCTGTTTGAAGGGATCTCGATCAGTCTTAACCTTAGGAACCGTATTTTTTTTGATGCAAATGGGTGTGGGTAAAATTCAGTGATACTAACTGGCCTGTGGGTGTGTCCTAGTGATTCTGATTCAGTATGACTGATTATTTTTCTAATTTATTTTTTAATCAGTAGGAAGGTATGATTAATTGTCCTGTCTGGGCCTGAACAGATCCTGGTTTGTCTTTATTAACTCCTTATTCTCCTGCCCAAGAAATACATTAGTGAATGCAACAAGGTACTTCAGGTGCCAGAATTAATCAGTGTTGATTCCAGAAGTCTCAAAGTATTTTTGATAATCCGTATTAGAAGAAAGCTGTGTTGTTTCTTTTTTTTTCCCCTCTGTGCATGTGTGTGTGAAGCAGCTTTGTTCCACTGCACTCATTTTATATATTGTACTTAGTGCGTGTTTAAGCCTGAAGGGCTCCATCTCCACTGACAACAGATGGACTCTTCTCTTGGCTTGTAACGCTAATCTAAGTTAGATGCACAATGTGTGCTGATGAAGTTGGTGACCTTTCTGTTAAATGCAGTTGTTGGAAGATGACGCCCCAGTTTTGTAAAGCAGAATTTCACTGATGTTCAGCTAAAGTTCAGTCTCCAAAAATTGATAGTATCATGTTCCAGAAGAGTTCTCACATTGTGTATTTAAGCATACGTCTCAAATTCTGGGCTAGAAAGTGGCATGCTATTGTAGAGGAGCGAGTTGCACAATGCAGCGGCTTAAGTGGCCAGGATGCGTGCGAGTCAGGGGATGAATGTGCCTCCTGCCTGGAAGGAGAAGGGACAACTTAGTTTAAGTGTCCCTGTTTATTAACTTATGTAGCATCTACAAAACCTGTGTAAGGGATTTATTGTAGCAATATACATAGAAGAAAAGAGGAGTGAGTCATCAAAATGGCATCGTTGCTACCTGCTCTCTCTTTTGCCTTTTTAATTACTCAGTAATAAAATTGAGATAGAGATGGTTCTGCCTGGCATCCAGGCCCCCAGGGAATCCCTGATATTCTCCTAACAGGCCTGGGAAGGAGAATTAACAGAAATGAGCCTTGTGCCACGGTTGGGTTCAGCACCTCTGTTGCAATACTTCGAGGAGCTTTCTAACAGAAAAAGCTGCTCCTCTTCTGCTAGCAGACAGCGTGTCTCCACGCACGTACAGGTTGTCCTCCCCAGTCCCCACAGCTGGGTTTGGAGAGCCTGCCTGGTCTGATGGAGTTTTTGGCTTATGAGTTGAAGCCTTGATGCGTGTGCCATTCAACACAGCCCTCTCTTCGAGAGGGACCTCTCGTTGCCCCTTGGCCCGCAGATGACATGTCCCAGCTCTGGGATGAAGCACGGCTCGCAGCTCATCCTGCCGCGGAGGCTTGCGGGGTGGGTACCATGGGAACTGGCACAGATCAGGATGTGAGTCAACACCGAGCAGAGTTCCTCCCAAGTGCTTCCCATAGACACACACATTTCCTCGCAGTCCAGTGGGCGTAACGTGAGCCCGAGAAGGCTTCTTGTCACGGGCTTCCCACTCATCCTCATTCACTGGCATGCTCTGGTAAAGATAGTGACAAATACAGTAATATCTAATATCTATCCTGTAATAAATGCTAATAACGGGAGTAATATCCCATTCAGTGATCACTTAAGCAGCAATAAGGGCTGTAATTAAGCCTCTCAAGGAAATAAGTTTAATATTTAGATTAAGTTGCTGGAGGAGCGTTGAGGGCAATCTTGCTCTTAATTCTCTGCCAGCATGTGTGTTGCGTGCTCGTGCTTTCCACTTGCTCTGAGCAGGTAGCTCCGCGTTCCCTCGTGCAGGGAAATGGGGATTTACTCAATTTTTTTCCATAGCTGAAAAAGGCAATGGCATGCTGATGCAAAGTTTCCAGGTCACTCTCTTTTTATGGTCAAAGTGTAAATAGAAACTCCTAAAAATAATTGATCTTTGCTTGGCTCTGCACTTAGTCCCCTTCGTGAATTTGTTTTTTTAAGCTATTGCTCAGATTTGCTGAAAAGATGAATATATTTCATAATCTTTTTGTTCCCCATCTTAGGAGTCTTCCAACTAATTATTTTCATAATAACTGTACAGCAACAAGAAAGGGGGAATCCCAGTCTGGGACTGTGAAGATTACAGCTTTTAGATCTTCAAGACATCTGTAATTACTGCTGTTATTATTATGTTTATAACTCTTTAGTAGATTTACAAGCCCAAAATTTTCAGGAAAGAAATACTAAGTGCAGAACAATAAATAAATCAGAAAGCACTTAACCTCTGTAACAGTAAAAGAGACATCCTCAGTGTAAAAAAAAAAAAAAAAAAAAAAAAAATAGAGAAAGGAGGAAAAAAAAAGAAAGGAACCAGCAACCCATACCAAAGGCATCTTCATAAGACTTTTGAATTGCTGTTTCCTGGTTTCCTGTGGGTTCAAGCGGGAGCTCAGGGGCTCTGTTTCCTTCCCAAGAACCTGCCAGGATTAAGCACGAAGCGTGGAGGCTGCGGGGTGCCCTGCCCAGCTCCTGCTGGGTCCGTGCTCTCAGTTGATAAAGGCAACCTCAGGCTGCTGCTGTCTCAGAGGACCTCTGGTTGGACGTGCACGTTTTTTGTGAGCCCTTCCTCAGCTCCAGACTGCTGCCTGTGCTCAGGCTTGGGCTCCTGAGCTCTCCCTTGGATGAAGTCCAGATGTGTAGGATAACCCAGCCAAGGCCAGCAGGTGTGGGAGGTGTCTGGTGGGGCACTGGGATGAATTCTTCCAGTGCTATGGCTGCTAATGCCTGTTTAGTGATGCCTCCATGGGGCTCAGCTGCTTGTTTCCCTGTGGATGTACGCCAACGGGCAAGGCTGGACTCTGCCTGCATCAGGCTTTCTCTGCCATGAATTCGGGCTCTGCAGCCCAGCAGCATAGGGGATGGGCACAAAGCACAAGCGTGCCTTCCAGTGTCACCTGCCTGACAGCCCTCCTTTCTCCCCTAACCTGGCATAGCTCCTCTGATGTCTGCTTCAGGGCAAGGCTATTAATCTTTCTTGTGTTCTAGATACTACTACGGGGTGTTTTACAAGGTCTGTCCTTTAAATATCTCTTCCTTTTAATTACATGTCTAGGAACGGAATATTTTTAGGACCTTTGTTCTTTATCAACTGTAGTTGAAATGAGCCAGGGGATTCAGAAGATCCTGAGATAGAGGGAAATGGCAGATGCATGCCCTCAGTGTGATCAAACAAGTCTCACCTCTGAAGGAAATCAGGCTAAGGAGAGCCTAGGGAATTCACATTTTTGTGATTGCTCTTGCCTTTTTAGGTGTTTGGTGCTGTTAACAATAGTGGTCCTTGTCACTGCTGCCCCCAAAGGCATCCCACAGCTTTCAAACAGGACTGGGAGGATCCCAGTGGCAAATGTTGTTTTGTCTTCTCCTGTACTGGAGCATACTGGCTGCTTTAGCATCATCGGAAAGAATGACAAGAAAAACGTCAAACTTCATACCTGAAATGGTAGCAATAAAAACCCACGTTATTTTTTCCATGCTTTAGGAGTTGTGTTTGTTGCAGCTAAGACATTTTGTTTGCTTTTCAAAAGGTGCTTTAGTTTCTATATAACAACAGCTGGTAAAGTATCATGTTTTATTATGACTTAAGCCATCCAAATGTTTAGAAGATTACAGAGTTATGGGGCCTTACTTTTATTTAAAATTCTGTTCTGTGCTCTTGTCTGTATACATTTTTGTGTGTGCGTGACTCTCAAAAAATCTGGTTTTTGAAGAGGACTTGTCTGACAATGAGGAAATGTTCCCGAAAGAAATAACCAAATGGAGTTCCAATGATCTGATGGATAAAATTGAAACTCCCGAATGCGACGATGTCCAGGGTAATTTTTTTTTTTTTTAAGTAAAAACTGCATGTGATATTTTTACAGTTTTTCCAGGTAATTGTTACAGCTGCATCTGAAAAAGGTAAAACTTGTTATCTTCGTCTCACAAAAGGAGAAGCTGAGAGGGAACATGAAAATGACTGCCCAGTGCTGATGAAAAAGAATTGCCCAGTGGGAGTTTGGACAGCTCTTGATTCTTTTTTATTTTCTGTGTTGGTTAGGCTCCTTTGTGCAGCACCCCGGATTTTCGCATGTAATGATGAAATATTCCAGCTCTGCCTTGAATGACTTGAATTTCTCCTGACTCTTCTTTCCTCTTGCTCCATCCTTTTCTTCTTGTCTGTATCTGCTTCGGGTTTTTTTTCTGCTCATCGTTGTGAATTTTGAAAGGAAGCTGGCTCCTCAGCCAGATCGATTCATGTAGCAGCGCGGTGGAAGATGACACTTAGGCTTTGTGGTACAAAGTCAGTCTGTGTAGGCACAGACACATAAACTCATCAGATCTCTGCTCCCCTAGCATGCCTCAAGCAATTCCTTTTTATTTTCCCACAAACCAATCGTTTGTGACAATTGTGCAAGGATTTCCCATTGTTACCATCCTTAATAAAGCCATGGCACTGGGTCGCTGTAATGAGAGAAGAGCTCGCGAATGTCCTCGGTGCTTACTGAGGTTATGAGAAATTGCTGGAAAATAAGTGACCCAGCATAGCCGGGGCTTCTCGGGTGGAAGGAGGTGAGAGGGAGGGAGAGGGAAGTTTGGTGAAATAATTAAGGAGATGTGAGGCAGAAGAGGCTGAGGGGCATTGGCACAAACAGCGTCTTTATGGAAGAGTGTGTTTGCCAAATAGCATCTTGCAGTGCTGACGGTTTAAACCTCTGTGCTTCCAGGTGACTTGTATCACGAGCCATCAGCAGAATATCACGTCGGCTCCAGCGTGGAGAGGCTCAGCATCATTGAGGTAAGTGCTTTGCTTTCTTGTAACAAGATCCTTCGTTGCTGGAACGTGTCCACGTTGGGTAGATGGGGTAAATGGCTCCCTTTGCCACGAGCGGTGTATTGTCTGGGTGTGTCGTTCAGAGCCACACCAGCATGCTGTGTACTTCAGCACTAGGTTTAAGGGGTTATTTCACCCGTCTTTTCATATAGAAAATGCTCTGTAGTTTGCAGGCAGTGTCAGGTATCCAGCTGGAAAAAAATACTAATCCTGTGGGAATAACTGCTGCCTGTGACAGTGCTGGGTAGAGCTATCCTGCTAATGCCGAATGAGCTAGCGTGGACGTGGCAGCAGGGGAGCCGCGTTGCTGCAGCACCGAGGTGACAGAGCTCAGCTGTAGCCCACTCTTTGGAGGTGCTCGGGGTCTTGTTTGGAAACCATTTGCAGCATAGCCTGTATCAGTGCTCAGGATAAAAAAAAAAAAATAATAACACCTCCTGGCTTTCTAGACTTGCATATACAGGCTTTTGCAATTCAGCGTCCTGGTGAGCCACAGTTCCTCTTGGGGTGGCTGTACTCGTCCTACCCTTAAGGCACCTGCCTGCCTGTGCTGCAGAGATGATGTAGCTGCTTGCAGAGTGCTTATGTTATGTTGTGGTTTATCACAGACCAGGAGCATGGGTTTCGTATCTCTCCGTGTGCCAGGCTGTAAGTTCATGGTGGTTTGGCTTTTTCATAACAGAGTGGGTGGCTGGGGACGGGCACAGCTCTAGCCACCTCAAAGTAAGCAAGTCACAGCCTGAAGATTTCTCTTAGAGCTCAAGATGATGTGAAGAACTTCTTGTCTTCTTCAGAGAGCTGTACAAACTCAGCTCCCTCCTGTTTCTACCTTCATTTTAGAAAAAGAACAGGCTTCAGATTGAAATTAAAAAGACTGTTATTTGTACTTGTTCACAAACAGTCTACTAAAATAGTGTGAAATTCATAGCCACTGTTGCAGTGATTTTCAGGTTAAGAGCCTCCATCACCAAAAGGTCATTCAGGAATCAGACTGCTTAAGAAACTCCAGGTCTTATAAGAAAGTCCTAAAGAGCCACCTCCGCCCCTAAACTAATCAGCAGCTGCTTGCATATTCCCCACTTCCTTCAAGAGCAGAGGTTAATGAACTGAAAGAGAAAGGCACCTCCAAATGACTGCTGATAAACCTGAGCTTGGTGACTCATGTTGTTCTCCGAATGAGCAATTAAAACGTTTGTCTGAAAGCAAAAGTAGTGCTGAGATACTGAGAGCTCCTCCCATGCTTCCAGACAGGCAAAAGTTCACCTTGCAGGCACTGTAAACTGGAATCAGAGAAAGTTTAAAGAGCAGACATTAATACGGCGTAATGGTCCTAAATAATTAAAGGCCATTCTTATGCAGGAGGTCTGGAAAATCTTTATTACAGACTTGGGTGTGAATTTTAATACTTCTGGTGGGCTGTGTGTTAAGACATGCTTTAACATTGTCTGGTAAAAATGTAAGCTGGTTGTAAGGTTGCTAATGTGTGCCTGGGCATGCTTCTCTCCCACCAGCAGCTTTGTCAGGGGCTCAGTTGCTGCTCAAAGGACAAACGGGTGACTAAAGCTGCTAGAATGAGAAGAATAATTTGCCCAATGGAAAACACCACTGCCCTCCACCCTTCTCACACCCCCTCCCAATGGCTATTTCTGTGCCTCAACAGGGAGTTGCCCAGGATGTTCTCAAATGTTGGCGCTGCCAGCAAAAAGGATAAGGCACAGGAGGAAAGATCAGTACTTGCTTTCACATATCTCGGAGGTGTTGGGGTGGGAAGTTTGAGTCCATATGGGAGCTGTAAACCCTGAAAGCCCTGGTAGCGAATAGATATTAAAAATAGTTACTGCTCTGTTGTGTTATATGTGACCAGTACAAATGGATGTTCTTGAACCTGCTCCTGGGGCATCGAGATTGGGCTGATGGCTGTTCTGGCAGGGCCCTTAATGATAACCCACTCTGGAGTTCAAATTCAGTTCCCTCCTTCCTCCAAACTACAGCCTGTCTGTTCAGCCAAGGAGTTGACACAACAGAATAATCAAACGACCTGGATAGCCAAAATAAAAACCTTTCCTATGTTCATGCATCAGTCTGCAAGGCAGATGTTGACCAGTCCTTGGGTCATGGGGTCTTGAAGTGTTTTCTTTCCAGTTCCTCTTTTGCAACAGTATAAGCAAATCTCAAGTCTTATTTATAACTTCTGTCGTTGGCAAGCAAATGCAATGACTGATCTCTTACCACAATTTCTTTTCCTGGTAGCTTGCCACTTGCTGACCTGTTTGATCTCATTTTGCTGAATATGTTTTACTGTCAACTGCTGCAGCTGAGCTCAGCGTCCCAACAGAAAGCAACACCCATCTTTTATTTCTTTATTTTTCCACCCTAACGCACACAAGTAACATCTTTACTGCTGCCTTGTTTTACCTGGTTACAACTTTATGCAATTTTTTTTTTTTACTTTCAGTATTCCTCTGCTTAGGACAGTCAGTTACACCGAGGCGCTGTGTGTACTTTTGTGCATGCACATGTGTAGGATATGAGACCTGGAAGGAGGAGTCAGGTTCTCAGCTGTTGTATCTGGGTGTATCTAATGGCCATTTCCATAAATTAAGCACATTGCCTTTTCAAGGTAGTTTAGTTTCTTACCCCTGAATTGCAGATGTTATTCTAAAACCTCATCCCTCCTGTGTTTAGAAACCTGATTTTCAGTCTGTGCTTATTCAGGATCAGTTTTAGACTCTTCTGTGCTTGTGCCTGCACTGTCCTTTGAGTTAAGTGCTGCTCTTCCTTCCCTGGCTTTCTTTACCCATCTCCGCTGTGTTTGAGAGCAGGCATTTCATTCTCCCAAAGCTTTGCTTTTAGTCTGTTCAGAAAGTCTCCATGCTTCTTGTCCTTATGTGGTCCTGGTCACACTGCAATTATCTTTGTGTGTTGATGGCCCAAACTGAACTCAGCCCTCTAGACAAGAGCTTGCCAGGACCTTGTCTCAGGGCTAGTACTGTGTCTGCTGGAAATACCTTGCTTCACAGATCGTTGTTTGCCTCATTCCTGGCTGGATTTGATGTGGGTAGTGCATCTATTGTGTGCACCATATGCGAGCTTGGGGAGAAAAGGTTATAAAATTTGCATAAACTGCACTTGCACTAAATATAACCTCTTTGCAAAATCAGCCTTTCTACTGTGCTCTGTTTCATTCCCACCTAGGATGAATCCGTGCAGCCATTAATGCAGCCAAGTAAAATCCATGTCCTCCTCTTGGTACTCCATGGAGGGAACATCCTGGACTCGGGAAGTGGTGACCAGAGCTCTAAGCAAGGGGATGTCAACACCATCACGACAGTGTTTGACACAGTGATGAGGGTACATTACCCAGCTGCTCTTGGACACATTGCCATCAGGCTAGTCCCTTGCCCAGCCATCTGCTCCGAAGCGTTTTCACTGGTGTCCAGGTAAGTTGGTGCTGCCTTATCACAGAGAGAAACGTGTCAGATTTCACTCTTGTTTTTTGTTTGTTTTCTTGCATTCCTGAAATGATCTGCATATAGTATTGGAAGCTCTGACCACGCTTTGAGAATTCACTTGTTAATACACTAGTGAGGCATTCAGTCTCGATTTCATACTTAGCTGCAGTGAATACAGTAATCATGCAGCAAGAGTTCCGAGATTGATTTATTCTAATTAATCCAATAAATACTAAGGCTTTAATTCCTTGTCTCAGGGTTGTTCTATCAATGTAAGTATGTTGTCCTTGAAGATTTACGTTTGATGGCAAGGAAAGATTTATTAAGCTCTCACTCATTCACAGTGGAATAAATGGCCTTTCTGTCTTCAGGCTTTTTTTTTTTTAATGAACTGCAATACTGACTACTGTCTGCAAATGGTTATCCCCACTCTTCATGCTAGGCTGATATTTCCCATGTTTCTTGCCCTGTCCAGCCTGAGCCCATATAGTTATGACGAAGGCTGCCTGTCCAACAGCCAGGATCACATTCCTCTTGCTGCACTCCCTCTGCTAGCAACATCCTCCCCGCAATACCAAGAAGCGGTGGCCACAGTCATTGTCAGAGCTAACCAGGCCTACAGCGAGTTCATCAGATCCCAGGAGGGCATGTCATTCAACGGCCAGGTGAGCCAGCTGCTGTTTATAGCCACAATGAAAAGAAGAGCAAGTGAAGCAATTTCCTTCTGAAGCTCTCTTTTCCATTAATCTCTCAGGAGGGATGGAAACATGACATTGTTGAGCTGCAATAAGAAAGTGTTGTGCTTCCATTTCTTTCTGAGAGAGAGAGATTATTGCTTATGCTCTGTCTTGAACCTTTGGGATTCAGAGCAAAATCTGAGCTTGTGTTCAGAAATGAAGCTACAAAGCTGTGAAGTTAATCAATTTTCAGCATGACACACCTTTCCAAATCAGGAATGCTACCTTTGTTACTAAGCATGATCTCTACTCCCCTTGCAAACCAAGGCTGCTTAAGCATTCCCATCTTTAAAGGACCTTCAGCAACTCACCCTGGAGTTGTTGCAGAAGTGGGTTTCTTTTTTGAGGTGGCACAGCTGCTGCACGCTGTCAAAGGCCATGGCTGAGCCTCACCTCTGGGAGCAGAATGACTTTCTAGCCCCGCGAGGTTTGAGCTGTTGGACTTCTATCACATTGCACTGTGATTTATCCACCATGAGCTTGTTCCCAGCCAGCACTGTGCCCGAGGACCCAGAGCGCCCTGTCCTAACCAGGGCTTTCAGTGCTTTATTGTGTCTATCTGCTCAGTACCCTTGGAGGCAGGACAGCGTTATCTCCAAGGGGTACACGCAGGGAGCAGAAGCACAGGGAAGTTTGCCTGAAGTAGGATGGACAGCTGGCGAGGAGGGAATCAAGCTTTGTTTTCTGAGGCTGGAGCTAGTGCCGTAGTCAGTCCTCTGTCTCTGCAGTGTATCTGCTTTCACTTTGCTCCGGTCAACTGGTGGGGACAGCCAGAACACATTAGCTATGTTAGCTAACAAGAGTCTGCAGGGTATGAATGGATGTTCATTGACAGAATAATTTTACTGATGAAAGCACTCTAGACATCCTGTTACTGCAGCTTTCCTAGGTATAATCCAGCACTCCGGTTAACTGTCATCTCTCAGCTACAGTTAAGGGGCTTTTTTTTTTTTCCCTCCTCTCCTGCTTCTGTTGCCTTTCTCAGGTCTGCTTGGTAGGGGACTGCGTTGGAGGAATCCTGGGATTTGATGCCTTATGCTACAGCAATCAGACTGTTTCCGAAAGCCAGAACAGCAGTCGACGAGGAAGCGTTGTGAGTGTCCAGGTAATGCTGACTCCGGTGTCTGCTGGGAATAGGCCTGCTGGCTGCAGCACCTCCGTGGCCCCTGTTTTTAGTAAGGATCTTTTCAGCCAACAAAAACAACTCTGTTGCTTGTCACTGGCAAACGTGTGTGCCTCAATTTGGGTGCATTTGCTCTGAACAGGGATGCTTCGCCCTCTGGTGTGAAGCATCATCCATACCAGCTTTACCCACACCCTTAAGAAGTGGTTAGGTCTGAGTTACTGTGTTGCCCTCAACTGGATCTTGGGGTAGGTGGGGAAAGGAGTATGGAAGGAGAAGGATATAACGTGAGTGTATTCCTGATTCAGCTGTCAGAGTGGTAAATCCTTATATTTCAAATCCCAGGATACCGACCTCCTGTCTCCTGGAATAACAGTGAACAACAGCTATTGTTCCAGTGGCTCTAATCTGGAAGCCAGCAGGCACCTCAGCAGGAGCAACATTGATATTCCTCGTAGCAACGGAGAAGACCCAAAGAAGCAGCTGCCACGAAAAAGGAGCGATTCATCAACCTATGAACTGGACACGATAAAGCAGCATCAAGCCTTTCTTTCAAGGTAAGATTTTGAAGGAACAGAACCGGCAATCTTCCAGAGCTGAGCTTGATGCATCTGTGGTACCCGAACGTTGCTTCGTTATCCTGTGAAAAGCAAGGTGGAGGAAAGTGTTTTATTTAGATAAGAGTGGTATAGGTTTCAGTGTGGTGTATATGCAAAACAAAAATTAACAGCACTCTTGCTCAGTGGCAATGAGAGAATCCAGCTGCTCTACTGCATCTGTATTACAATGGCAAGAAGCCCTTTGTCCTGTTGCTTGACAGCCACGGCGGTCAGGTCACTTATCTTTTGCTGTGTTGCAACTGCAGATGAATGTCATAAAGCAAATGTAGAAATAGTGCGAGGGAAGATGGTGAAACAGAACTGGGAATCCAGTGTTGTATTAATTTCAAAGCATCTCTGAAAGCTGATTTTGAGTTGGCTGACCTGTTCTTGGGAAAAGTATCCCTTAATTTTGGTGTAGTTGGAGCGTGAGATTGAATTGCGGTGTCCTTTCCAGTCGCAGGAGCAGGTTTCTGCTGTCATGGTGGCAGGATGCTCTGGACGAGACATCCTGAACCCTAGCTGGTTGGCTGGTTCATGGAGCAGCCTTGAAGTGCACGTGAGGATTGTCTGTCTGTCTGACTATATGGCAAAGCGACCCAAGTCCCCTGTATGGAGCATGGACAGGGGGTTGTGTTCTATCCCCTGCCAGGGCTGCTCTGTTGCACTAAGGTCATGTTTCAAATTTGTTACTCACTACTGAAGCCCCCAGTCTCACATTCCCAAGCTTCTTGAAATGGACTTTCAGAAACTTATCTATTAACATAACCAATGAAGCTTTCATGGCAATCTTTCCATCGCCGCTGATTGTTGGGGGATCACTTCTGTAAGCCCGGAGGCTTTTTCTGACTGAATCATCTTCAGCCTGTGAAACTTGACAGCTCAGACCTTTTCCTCCTGCAGGCCTGGAGGAACTGCAACATCCTCTTCCCCCATGTCCTAGGTACTGGGAGCAATGTTCCGCCCTCCAGCAAACACCATTATCTGTATTGCAGTTGTGCCCAAGGCTGTTCCTCTTGCACAGAGCTGGAGGCTCGTCCCATGCTCCTGCCTCTCCTTCACTACTTGCAATCGTTGCTCCAGCACAGGGACTCGTCCTGCCATGTCAGGGGCCCTTTTGTAAAAGATTCATAGAAGAGAGAAAGTATCGAAGTGAATGTCGTTGGTGCACAGGGATACTATGTTCAGAAAGACAGATGCATTTACGAAAAAACACAATAAGCTTCTCAGCTATAAAGGGCAATCAGAATCTTGTTCATACCTTAAAAAAACAGCCTCCTGTATTACAGGAGAAAATGCTAGTTGTGCAAAAACGTGCTCTTTCTCCTCCTTGTTCTTGACCTCAGAGGCATGGACTGACCTAAGGAAAGCGGGCTGGCATCTTGCTGCAGTTTTACATCTAGTTTAGAATAAGCGCTGGGCCTGGCATGGCCAAGGGGTTGCAGGTTGTTGTTTCGAATAGCTTTGTCCTGATCCTTCCTGCTCCATCTTTGAAGGATCATGCCCACTCCCAACGTGAAGCGCTTGCGGGGAGCCTGGCAAGGGCTGTCGGTGTTCAGTGTGCTGCTGGATTGGTGCAGCCTTGCTTCTTTTAGGCTTTTATATCTTTTTAAACCTACCTTTAGACCTTGGGGCAAAAATGGGGGCTTCCTCACAGCTCAAGAGCAAGATTCCCTCAGGGAAAGGGGCAGGTTGAAGCTGCTGTGCAAGTTCTCTCAGCATCTCTCCCTCTCCACTCCCTGGCGCAGGGGAGGCTCGGTGCAGTGATTCACCTCTTCCCCTCCGGCGTGACAGCAGGGCATCGCGGCCAGCCCCGGACCTTACAATACAGCCCTCGTTCCTGAGCAGCACAGTCATCAGCAGAATGCCCCTTCGGCCTCGCTGTCACTCCATAACGATTTTTCCATATGAAAACCAAGCTCTGATGTCACGCGGGTGTGTGCAGGAGGTTGGCAGAACAGAGCCAAGTTTCCCTACCGGGCTCGGCAGACGGGCAGCCTGGCATCCGGGGGCCTTTCTGTCCGTGCCCATTGCAGATTTCAACTTGTGCCAAAGACACTCATTTTTATTCATGTATCAGACCTACCCGCTTCCCTGGGATAATGCTCAGCAAGCCAGAGCAGCATCTGGAGATTACAATCACACATTTATTTTTAAATTCAGTCCTTCTGCACAACTACATTATTTCTGGCTGCGCTGTACTTGTATTCTCGTAAATGAGTTGATTTGCTTCTGAAATCCATAAGCTCTTGTTTAATTAATGCACACAGTACATCTGCTGCTTTTTAAAGGGAGAACAGGGCACTGCAGGTTGCTTGGAGCATGATGAATTCAGAGTTCCCCTTGGCTCCCGTTTCCTTTGATTGCTAAAAAGACTATCAAGTTCCCAGTAAAAGGAGAGAAGCTGTCCAAATTGCTTAGTGGTGTGAGTGCTCTCGTTCTCTTCCGTTCCTCAAGAAAAGATGCTGTGGGAAGATGGGTGGAATACACCAAAAACCTCCTGCACCCATCCTGCCATAACACGTCTGCCATCAGGATGGTCTTTCCTTTTGTGCCTTTGTTTGAATCGCGTTGCTGTCGCCCTGTCTTTGGCAAATCCGAACGTGTTCTAAATGACTTTGTATTCCTTACGCACTGCGAACTTAACGTGTTGCAGTCTTGTCAGGTAAAATAATTGTAGCTTCACTGAAGGTGGCTTGTTTTTAAATGTGTTTCAGCGTTGCACATCTTGGCAGCGTGATCTTGGGGAAGCTCATTCACATCGCAGAAATGGAAACACGCTCGTTTTAGCTGTCACTGCTGTAACCTCCTGTTCCGCTCGCTTTTGACATCACTGTTTTGGCTTTCTGTGATGTGTGTGTGTCTGGCATAAGTAAGCGAATCTGGTTGGTAACCAGGAGAGTCGTACTGTGCGTGTGTGCACCTTTAGAAAATACATGACAGTGTGGCATGAGAAGAAGATTTTTTAGCATCCTTTGGGAGTGGCGTTCAGCAGAGGTGCTGTCTCTGGAATAATGCATCATTTGCCAAAGCAGGAAAGCAAAGTCCAAGTGAAACTCGTTTTTTTCTTCTCAAATATGTGAGTATTTGCAGCTGCTCATTTATTGAATGGCTGTCCCAGAGGAGGAGCATGTGCGAGCAACTGCTCCGGTGCTGCAGATGGTGGGAGTGAGCAGCCCTGTTTCCGCGAGCGCGGCAGTGCTGGGACGCCGCTGCCCAGGCGGGCAGCCAGCTCGCTGTGTGCAGGATGATGAGCAAGTGCTAGTGCATACGGAGACAGGGCAAGTGCTGGTGACCACCTGGGATTTTGACTTGGGGCCACAGAGCTGTCAAGAGACTATTGCGTTTGCGTCATCCCTGACTCCAGGCCAGTAAACCTTTTATCCAGCCCAACTGTTGTGGAATCATTCATCCTACATATTTTATAGAACCTGTTCAGATGCTTTTTAAAGTGTTTGCAAACAGCCTGTTAAGTCACTGCTGGTACTCTGTCTTCAACTCTCCACATCTAATTCCAGCGACAATGACCTAGCAAGGCTGCCGGCTGAATCTGTAGGACCTGGAGAGCGAAAGAAATTGCAGTTCAGTGCTTTTGGGTGGTAACAGAAGAATCCCAGAAACCCTTTTGTGAACCAGGTTATTAGTGTTACGCATCTGTCATTTTGCTATCTAATCCCAGATCTAGACTGCAAAGAAGCACTGCTTCCTAATGCGGGGACGGATTCCCAGGATTTTAATCTAAGAGTTTCCTGCTGCTTCTTCCTCAGCGTCCAAGGGATATGTGAATTTAAATCTCTGTGTTAAGCCTAGTATTGCCCAGCCTGCACTACACACAGGTTGAATTTTACAAACAAATTTGACACCTGAAAGAGAGTTTTATATCATTATTCTTTTTAAGTACAGTTACCTGGAGTTGCTGGGCTGGGGTTGAGAAGTAGTTTGGTAATAACTTGACAGATGTGGCCTCATGGACAAAAGAGAAGTGGGGTAGTCCTGGGTGTATGATAAATACATTTTACCATATGGCCACTGAGTTAATTACCCCGAATTCTCATTCCCAGTGAATGCCATGCACGTACATGGAAGCTGTGGTGCAAACTTGGTGCATAAGGATATTAGAAACCCTCTTGCGGATTTTGATCTTTCTTTTTCTCTCTCCTCTCCCATTTTCTTTTTCTTCTTCCTTTTCAATCCTATAACATTTGTCCAACTACTTCCACGAGGAAGAAATGGGTAAGCACAACTTTCCGTAACCTTTGAGAATAAGGTGATGGAAGGAACTCAAATGTTGTCAACCAGAAAGCATAGCAGTAACGTGTGTAATGGAGTGAATCACTGTAAACCTGCTTTTTTCCCTGCTACTCTAGTAGTTTTGGCTTGCTGGTTATTTTGTCTTGCAAATGACTAGCCTGCTAGCATCAACCAAGATTTAGACTCCTCAAAGAAAAACAATTTTGAGGAGATAGGAGCGTGTAAATGAACCCACTTGAAGCTTGGATTTGTACAGTCTAAATTATGCCAGTGTAATGGGGCAGTTGTCTGGGGGGATGTTTTACTGGCTGGTAAAACTACAGTACTGAGGCATGGTGGGTTGATTGCCACCGTTCTTTCATTAAAGAGAGAGAAATTACGTTCACTGTTAATCACTTATCTGGCTTTCAGTTGTGAAAAACCAGCGTGAATACAATTTTATTTTCTGTTCTTGTCCCAGTTTACATTCTAGTGTGCTGAGAAATGACCCGGGATCCAGGCGATCTAGTAGCTCTACAATGTTGGATGGAGGAAACATCGGAAAGTTTGAATTTGAGATCACAGACTTCTTCCTCTTTGGTTCTCCCTTGGGTCTGGTTCTCGCTCTGCGAAAAACTGTCATTCCAGCTCTTGACAGTAAGTCCTGATGTAAATTGCTGAGCTCACATAGTGGATGGTGTAAGCACCTCCTGCTACACATCCAGTAATCCGATAAGACAAACTGCTAAAACCCAAACATTTATATATAGTATCGATTGCACCGTAAGGAAGCAGATCACTGTGTGCTCTAGGCAGTACTGATTATACGATTTATTTGCAATGTACTTCCAAACATTAAAAATACTGGGCAATTTTTGAGTCTATAAATATTGTGATAAATTGTTTCAATTGACTAAACTGGAAGATGAGGGAGATGATAATCTTTAGTGCTTTTTTTTAACCCAAAAGTTGTCGTTCTTACAGACAAATATTTACAATAATCTAACAAATAAACTTTTGATACTTGAGGGCTTTTTTCTCCATCTTTTTAGTCTTTCAGCTCAGACCAGCTTGTCAGCAGGTCTATAACCTGTTCCACCCTGCAGACCCATCTGCTTCACGCCTCGAGCCTCTTCTGGAGAGGAAGTTCTACCTTTTGCCTCCCTTTAATATCCCCCGTTACCAGAGGTTCCCACTGGGTGATGGCAATTCTGCTGTTCTGGGTAAGTCACTTTAGATCCGTATTAGCTGTCTAAAGGGTTATTTCCACACTTTACATGAAATTATCAAAGCAGTTGGGAATGACGAGAAAGAGAATTGGCCCTATAATGTTAGCCTTATTGCTGATTTACCAGAAAAGTAGTTTTTTTCCGACAAAATCCGTGTCTTGTGACTTATATGCACTTCACTTGTCACACAAAGGCCGTCAGCTGCTGAGAGTCATGATGCAGTGACCTCTCTGTGAAAGGTCCCTGTTTTACACCCAAGCTGGTGCTCGTGGTTGGGACTGAATGAAACGTGGTTAACTTGGCTGAGTTTAGGACTTTGATGTTTGGAGGGCCAGTGAAGACTGGAAGGAGCAGAGTCAACAGTGAGATAATGAGATGATTTACTCTATTGCAACCTGTGCTTCTTCATGAGACAGGCTGCTGCAGATCAGTGGGCTGGTGACAGTGCCTTGCCACCTTGCCAATGAGACGCTTTTGTCTTCCTATGATACCTAGGATTCCTCTGCCATCGGTGGCCTCCTCACTTGCTCTACCCCAATTGCAGCAGTAACAAAGTCTAAAACGACTGTGTGCATGCCCTTGTGTCTTACTGGGTTGCATTTGAAACAACTGTGTCCTGACCATGCCCTGCCTCAGCTCCCATTACTTCAGTGCTCTTGCAGTTGATCTAATAAAATAAATTATATTTCCTACCATCTTCATCTCACTTCTGTGTCTAGACACTCATGGTCTGTTGCCATTTCAGTGCAGGCTCTCACTGCAAGGAGCTCTTGGGGAAGCTCACCACTGTGCAGAACTAAATTTGACCTTTCTCCTTCCCCTGAAGTTTTGGTTCCTTGCGGGGTCAGGGCTTTGGGGCAGGAAGAACAATTGCACTGTAATTTTTCCCTTATTAGAGGTTGTTAGTCAATGGCTACTTAAAGCCACATTGCAACTAAGAGTCACTACCATAAAACTGACTTAGAGCACACCAGAAATCATGCTGGCAAACCAGAGTAGAACATGAAAGCCACTAGCTAGAAAGACTGGAATTGGGTTGTTGTTTTTTTGCCAAAGCTCTGGTAACTTTCCATTTTTTTTAAATACTTGAATCATGAAGGACAAAATGCAGAGGAATATGTATTTAGAGCTGAGTAATTCTGGTGGTAGTCTGGATCATCTTTAAACTGAAGATCCAAAGCAGTGGTCTCCCATGTGTCAGTAGCTTTAAAGATTGTATTGTAATTGCTGAATCTGGAGGTCTGATTTGTTACATGGGCATAAACCCATGTTTAATAAAGTGAATAAAATACCTTCTGCAGGCCCCACTCACTTGTCAAATCTAGCAAAGATCTTGCTGTAACACTTTTTAAAAATGGATCCACCCACAATTGCATTTGTACCGAGTCCAGTTACAACAACTTGCGGAATCAATAGCAACTTGAAAAGCAATTTGCTTTTTGGGTGTATTCTAGGTATCAGCTGCAATTGACTTCTTAAAAAAAAACAACAAAAAAAAACAAAAAAAAAAAACCACAAAACCCTAAACATCTTACCTTCTTCCTCTTAAATACATTTCAAATCCCTGCTCTCACTGAAGCCCCGTTGACACGGAGCAACCTGCGTTCTAGTTGTCGTTCTGTGCAACAGCAGGTATCTTCTTAGTTTGCTGTGCCTCCCGAGACCTTTGAGTTGGCTGCGTTTGGAGAGACACGTGCTACATTGTGGAGAAGAGTTAAACAGCAGTTAGCTCAACTATGAGAAGAGTAGCATGATTTCAAAAACTCTCCAGGTTTGAGCCTTCTTATTTTAAGAGATGCTGCTCTGCTGTGATGAATACAAGTGACAAAAAAAGCAGCTTTAAATTCTCTTCTTGTAGAAGACGTTTGCTTATCATAAAGTAACAAGCTATTCCTTTCTGTTAGAGTCAAAATTTCAATGTTGTGATTTACACGTTACTTGGAAGGAGTGTTCTACCCGTGATTTGCAAAGCTGCTCCCCAAGTTAGCGTTCACTGTAGGGCGCTCCAGAAACTTAATTGCTGCTATAATTAAGCTAAATGATCACGTGGAGTTCAGGTGCTCAATTATAATTAGTTATGAACAAAACCTTCTGTAACACTGCTTGTGCATATTTCCTCATGCAGATAGCTAGCTTTTTTTATAGTCCACGATTCAGAAAGCCTCTTAGACTTTTTTTTTTCATTTTCCCATCTGTACTAAATGTTGGGTCCCTATTTCATTACAACCAACTTGCAGAGTGAAACCACATTCACATCCTTGCTTACTCCTGTGCTTTGCACTGTGTAGGCTGTGAATCTGATTCAAGTAAATCTCCCCTTAGAGCATATTTTTTTTTCCACATAGTAAAAAGATTTCTCTGGATCTGCTGGGTATTTATGGATTTGGCTCATTGGAGAAGCTGGTTATGAGGATTCCCTTTTCTTTTGTTGTTGAAATGCCATCGTTGTGCTCTCCTCTGCTACCAGTTAATCTCTCTGATGTGAGTCTATTTGGAAAGTCACATGTTTTGTTTCTTTTACTCTATTTGAAGATTGTCCTTTCATTGAAGACTCATAGTTGAAGTGCTCAGTTGTAACTGTTTGTTACGTTAACACTTTGTGGCCGCATGTCTGTTGTTCTTTGTCCTTCTGTTTTGTTTTTTTTTTCCCCCATCTGCTTCTAGTTGAGACAATCCAGAACAATCCCATCCTCCTCATGGAAAGCAGCCCTCTGGGTGCTCTCCAGCACCAGGACAGCTTCATGGAAACAAGTATCCCTGTTCCCGTACTGAATTGGCAAGATGTTTCCAATAAAAGTGCTGGTTTTGCTGAGTGTGTGTAATCTACACTTTTGTATTGTCTATGGTGTTGGGTACTTGGGGTGCTTTTTGGAGATCATACTCTTGCCTCCTGGAGTTGAAATCTTCATGCTGTGTCTCAGGCTGTGCCACATGAAATAACCACTTGGGATCATGCTTGGGTACACCCAGCCTGGGAGACCCACCGTGCAAAGAATGAGTTGAGATGACAAACTCCATCCCGTTCCAGTGCTGATGCTGGAAGGGGAGACTGCTGCCACGTACTTACTTTTTTCCATCTGTGGTGACTGTGCTGCTGGAAAGAGGCTTTGGCACAGCAAGACAGAGTCCCTGGGTGGCCCTGCTCATGCCATACACACCGTGTGCAGGATCCCCTGGGAATGGGTTGGTTGTCTGCAGCGTGTCTCCCCAGCAGTCAGCCACACTGCACCGTGGCCAGAAGTCTAATTAATGGCTGTGTCAGAACAGATTTTGTCCGTTTGAGTATTTTGTGTTTGGACACTCCTCGTGGCTCTGCTGAATACAGTCAATGAGGCTTTCAGACCCCAAGGTGGCTGTACATGTTGGCTTTTTAAAATTAATTTCTCGACTTCTGCCTCAAAAGCAAAGTTTGATGTGTTTATTTTGCCTTATTTTTCATCGTAAATGCTGCATGGCCTCATTTATTCTGGTTGTGGCTGGTGTGCTACATCTGTGATTCTAATAAGACTTGACTTTGGTTTAGTTTTTTCTTCCCCATGTGTTTTACTTGCCCATTCTCACCCCCTTTTCAGTGCTTTGCACTGAGGGCTTGGCTCTGCTGCCTTGTTTTTAATAAGCTGACCCTTGCTGTTTATAAGCTGTCCAGTATGTTATGTGGTCATACAGGATGGCAACGTTGCTGACTATTCCAGATAGTCTCTCCCTTTCTCTTTTGAAGACGCAGGTGATTTTTAGGTATGCAGTTGCCATGTTGTCTCTGTTGCGATGTTCTGTAACAGAGCAGAGGGAAGGGATCTGCTACTATTAATTAGTCACTTTGGAGGCCACTGATGAAATGCTGTTTAGCTGTCATCTGATATTTCCTGCTGTCAGGACAGAGTTTTTAGAAGCTTCTCTGCTCTTTACCTTGTGTGTCAAGAGCACAGTGTGGCTAAGCAGTGATTGGTTTGACTGTAGAAAGTGCTGAATCCCAGTTCAGCCACTGGACTGCAGGAGACTTCCAGAATCATAAAAACTTAAGGACAACAAAAACCTGTGTTGCTCTTGATCTCAGGATAGTGACCGCAGATTGCCCAGCACTGACCAGTGACTCCAGCGCAAGCAGGGGATGGCCTGTGCTGAGCAGCTGGCTTTTCTTTTTTTTTTTGTTTCTTATTTTTATTGAACTTTACATATTTTTGATTGCTTTCAGTATTTCCCGCTTCGGTGCCACAGCTCAGCCTGCAAATAGCACATACTGAAATCTGCCATTCAGATACCCCGAGGACTTAACTCAGTGCCAGCAGTACATTAGGAGGACGGCCCAGTGCCGTTCACTTAGTGGGAAACAATTAGTAAGAACATTGACAAACGAGTCCATAAATGAAAAGGCACAGCACTGAAATGAGTATTAAAGAACCATAGCTAGGCAAAAAGAAAAAAAAAAAAGTGATTTCGCTTCTTATGTCACCTCTTCTGGAAGTGCAGTTAAATCTCAGTTCATTGCACTGGCCCAACGTGTGTGCGCTGCGGTTCGAGCAGCGGCGGCTCCTTCGCTGGGAGAGAGGGTGCTCAGGGCATCGCTCGAGCCAGGTCTCCTCTTCCTTGAAGCTTCCTCGTTCTGATAAAGTCTGCCCTCAGACATGGTACAAAGTACACTTCAGCCAGTGCAGTAAACCAGAGGCACCCCTGTCTTTATAGAATCACAGAATCACAGAATGGTTTGGGTTGGAGGGGACCTCAAAGATCATCTAGTTCCAGCCCCCCTGCCAGGGGCAGGGACACCCACCACTACACCAGGTTGCCCAAAGCGCCACCCAACCTGGCCTTGAACACTTCCAGGGATGGGGCATCTACAACTTCTCTGCGCAACCTGTGCCAGTGCCTCGCCACCCTCAAGAGTGAAGAATTTCTTCCTTCTATCCAATCTAAATCTCCCCTCTTTCAGTTTAAAGCCATTGCCCCTTGTCTTATCACTACATGCCCTTGGAAAAGGCAGCTCCTAGCTTGGCTCATGTTCTCCCAGTACAGCCTCTGCTTGAATTGTCTCCTCTTGCTTGTGCTGATGCTTTCTGCAGTAAGAAAACCATGCTGGCCCGGTCAGGCTGGCTGGGTTGCAGATCCTGCCAGCAGCCTTGACAGCCAGCAGCTCAAGGCAAGGTGAGAAGAGGAGGAAAGTGCTGAGAAAGTGATGCTGGTAATGGCCTTTCAGGCACAACGTGGGCAGTGTGTGCAGCTCATCATCAGGTCAGGCTCCTGCTAGGGCTCAGATCTTGCAGTACACGAAGCTTTTACACAGAGCAGCTTGTGGCCTGATTTTCCCTGCAGAGAACAGAACTCTTTTACCAACACTTAGCTACACATTTTCTGGTTCATACGTTCCCTTTCCCACCGCTGCAGCAGAATTTGTGTGGGCACAGACGCTGCTGCTGTGAACTGAGAGATTGGAGAAAGCAAAGCAGTAGCCTTGAGCAAAAAAGATGGATATTAAAATAAGACAGTTGCCAAAACAATGCCCAGTGTCAGCCGCATACTGGGATGAAATCCAAGCATATCTAAACTGGCTGGAATAGGCAGAGGATGATGGTGTGTGGGAGTAACGTACTTGCGTTCCCTGTGGCATCTGCTGCCTGGCTGGGCACAACCTGTGCCCTGTCTGATACCTGGGAATAAAGTTCAGATGCTGCTCCTCAGGTACAGCAGAGATGAGCAATGTTAAAGGGATAGTAAGTAGCTTTGCTGTTGCATGTTGGTGTCATACTGGTGCTGCCTGCTATGAAGTACTTGGTATCGGCATTACAAACCCTCTGCCCTGCAGGATCTTGGGATATCCCACAGACATTTTATTTGGCCTCGTAGCGTCTACAGAGGGGAGAAAACTGAAATGCAGAGATTTTATTGTGACTTTCAGCATCTCTCGATTTGTGAGTCCGGAATATAGTAGGTCCGTTTCCCTCCAATACAGGCGTAAGGTCCATGAGAGCATGACTTTAAATCCTCCTTTTCTGTATTTATGTACTAAAGGGTTAGGCCACACTTGGTGTAAACCTCAGGTTGGGATCTAAAAATCCAGACTTGCACGTTGTACAAAAAAAGCTCTGTTTTCACAGAGACTGAGGGCTCCCCGATCCGCCAACACCAATTGGAGATGTAAGTGCTCAGCACCAGACTCCTTTCTTTCGATAGCCTTTACTTTAGTTTAACGAGTGTTGGCTGTATCCATTAGCAATAAAACACAAGTTCAAATTTAGTCCCTGCCAGGCATGAAAATGTTTTCTTTATTTTTTTTCCCATTTTGTTGGTTGGTTGTTTGGGTTTTTTTGCATTAATGCTTCTATCTTGGAGATGTTCATTTAAGCCTAAATGTTTCAAGAAAAGAAATATTCCCTTTCTAAGGTTGTTTTTTGTGGTTCTCCTTACCTTGGTTATTCTGTCTCGATGTGAATGTATGAAGTTGTGTATATTCACATCTACGTGTATGACACATGCTTCTGTTTTGCTGCTTGAATAAGTCTGCCTGGATTTTTCTTTGGGGTTTCGGATTTGGTTTTTTAGCTCCTTATTTTGCTTCTCTCAGTCAAAGGCTGCTCCTCCAGCCGTGTGTCTCTTTGCCTGCTGTGGTGTTTGCTTTCTTTTCAAACCAGAGCTCCGATGAAATGTTCTTTTTTCATTCCAATCAGTTCTGAAAGGTTTTTGCATCTACTGCTTCCTTCCTCCCCTCGAGTTCATCTTGCCCAGCCTCTGTCTGTTGGTCTAATATTTTGATTTCCCTGTTTCAACTTTGTAGCAGATGTTGTTCAGTCTCATGGTGCCGTCTTCATGGAAAGCGCGTCCCTGTCCACCCCCATTTCAGCCCCTCAATTCAGGGGCTTCCGGAGAGCCAGTGAGATCAGCATTGCCAGCCAGGTCTCAGGAATGGCAGACAGTTACACTGCTTCCAACATAGCCAACAGTAAGTGTTTCACCCCCTCCGAGATTACCGCTCGCTGCCGCACCGCTCTCTGTGCCGCGCACCGGGCCAGAGCCATGCAGCTTCTCTCTGTCTGTCTGGGTTTATACTTTCCATTAATAACAAAAAATTTGAGTTATTCCACCTTCATCTGGTTTTGTCATCGTCAGTGCGGCATGTTAGCGTATTCCCTGGAGGAACAGATGATATATTCGATTGTAAAACAGGGGCCACTGCTGTGTTATGCATGTCAGACTGTGCTGGTGATAAATTGTTTTTAAAAAAAAAACAAACTAACCACAATAATAATTGATAACTCAGAGTATCACTTGGCTGCTGTGCGTGGTGAGGGTTGATCCAAAGGGATGTTGCTGTGCTGCAGAACTGGTAGGGATCAGCACTGCCAGATCGATAATGCAGGATGTGGCTTGATGCACATCACTTCTATGTGGCCCACAAAAATGGGGGTGAGTAACCCCTCCGTAACGCTGAAAGGGAAGAACAGGGTTGGCTTATTTATTACTTTGCGTTAGAAATTCAGCTCTTCTGTAGCCCTCAAGGCAGCTCAGAGAGTCAGCCAGTTGTGAGCCGTCTCCCAGAGCCGAATGAGGAATAAAAGGGATTTTTGGTTATTTTTCCCAAGACCTGTGTAACTTCCCAGCTAATACAGAGGAGATTAACAGCCTTTGTTAACGCTTCAGCCCCTTCTTCATTTCAGCTGAGGTGTGAGATGAACAGTCCGTGTCCTCAGGGACCTCTGATAACTCGGACAGAAAAAGGCTGCAAACCAAACAAATTAAAAACTCAAAAGAACCCTTCAGCTCAAATTTTTGTCTCAGAAGGTGGTAAAAAGTTAGGAGACACTCCATTCCTGACACATTATACTACGGGGCTGTGAACAACTCATTTCATAATTAATTGCTGAAGTTAATAACGCTCCCCGAGGCAAGTGTTAGTTGCTGAAGGGCGACAGAAAAAGGCTGCAAACCAAACAAATTAAAAACTCAAAAGAACCCTTCAGCTCAAATTTTTGTCTCAGAAGGTGGTAAAAAGTTAGGAGACACTCCATTCCTGACACATTATACTACGGGGCTGTGAACAACTCATTTCATAATTAATTGCTGAAGTTAATAACGCTCCCCGAGGCAAGTGTTAGTTGCTGAAGGGCTGTGG